TAATTGCAATGCAGGTAGATTGTGTTGCTTTTTAATGACTGTTTTAAAATGCCTTTTTCTTAATGTCTTTCATTTTTGTAAAGCACTTTTGAATGTGTTATATTTTATGAAAACATTTAAATATTAAGAGTAAATACTCTTAATATAGTTGGAAAGTGGAAGGTCAATGATATAAATAATATAGAATAGAAAATATCAAGAAGATACTGTAAGTGATCTCTACAATAAAACAGTTTAGTTTCCTGATAGGAGGATGTGCAAAACAGACAAACTAATAAGGCTTTATTTAAACATTAAAGAATACTTTAGGTTAAGGTCTTCTTTTAAATAAGAAAAAAGCTTTGGGGGTATCTACAGATATTAAGCCTGACAAAGTACTTAACGTCTAATATATTGCATGGTTTGTTTTGGGACTTGACAATCAACTTTCCTGCAATGTTAACTATGTTGAAGCACTTATTTTAACTGATATTATACATATTAATTATACTCTTATAAGATGTATGTAGATAGTATAAGAAATGTGCAGAATATGTTTAATGGTGGAGGTACACAGATATCGATAGATGTCTTGTAATGCACGGTTGAGGAACCTGTGACCCAAGTGTTTCATTCATTGCATAACTACACCGTAGTTGTGTATATGATATGTCAATAAACCTTAGAAAATCTTGAAATCTTGAAAGGGATGTGCAAAATAGCCATTATATACAGTTTTTAATTAACTAATAGTAGAGAATAACGAGTAATGAATATGCTTTATAGGGATCTGCAGATAAATATTTAGTCTTTCTGGGTAGTGTAGTGTCTTCTGCCATCCACACACTCCGAAAAAATATTTGTTTCTCCGAATCGAAAGGGGAAAATACAAAAGCATTGCACACAATTTAAACCAATCAATGTTATGTAATTAACAAGGATAATCTGGTGTTTTTGAGTTGATGAGTAGTGCAGATATCACTGTAAATAAAATCAATCGACAGTAAGGAGAATACTTACTTCCGGGTGTAAAATCCTCCGTTATCCAATGAGAATGGACGCTCACATTGCTCTTTGGGTCCGTAATACAATAAAGGGGACATGATCAAATAGGAATATAATTATCTTTTAAATAACGTTAACTAAAGGGAACAATCTATTTGACACAGCTGAAGCTCTGGCCTTCCTTAAAAACTAACTAATTTAATAAACACACAATGCACTGTTTTTTGAGAACAAAAATTGGTAAATAATATACCATAATACATTCTGACGAAAAATAAAAATTATTATGAATACAAATAAAATAAAAGAGGCTCCTGTGAGTTACTACAAGCTATAAAGTAGATTTTAAAAACGTTTTATAGAATAAAAGCTCACTGCGGGACGTTGTAGAAATGCGTGTGTGCACCACGACAAAGGAGCCTCATTCACTTTACATTGGGGTTGTTTGCGTGGTGCAGACACGTAAATGTAACAAAGTTCGTGACTCCACCATGCACTGCGGTGTTAACCTGTTAAGCACCAAGCCTGTTTTTCATGTTTCAGGCTCGAAAATGACATGCCCAAAACAAATGACTACAACTTAACTTCTAAAAGGGTTATATGAATAATTTATTTTATCAAAGCAAGGTTACATCTGTGAGTTGGATGTAGAAGTGTCAGAATCAATATAATTCAGATTTTACATAGTAAAAAACTGTAAATTATAGTGTCCGTCCAAAAATTATTTTTTACAGATAGTGAAAACTACCCTTGGATGATGGGTTAGTAGACTAAAAACTTTAGGAATCCAAAGTACAACATATAATAAGTACCCTGTATGAAGATTGATGGAAAACAAGTGACATTTGACCTTTTTAGAGAGGTTTAGCCAAAACCACCCCACCTCTGAGGTGATTTGGGTGAAAATGTTTTTTTTTTCCATATCTCTGGCCCCCCTTGCTCGATTTTGATGGTTGACACCTCTTTCTGACCGTTAGAGCCAATAGAATCGAAGGGGGAGGCCCACACACACACATTGTGAAGAGAAAAGGTGGGGGCTGCGCGCATGTAAATGTCCAGCAGAGTGAAGCGATCTCTCGCTCTGGCATTTGGAAACGAAAAAAGCAGTTTTATTGCTTATGGATTATCAGAAATAATTTGAAAGAGGACACAGACACATTGGATTAACCTATAGATTAACTGCTGCATCGTTTTTATGCCATTGAAGACCAGTTTTGACCAAGGTAAGCCATGTTAGCGTTTCTAGCTACTTAGCTCCACATGTTATGATGTACGCTTTCGTTTATAGCGTCGCAAATGTTTATCACTGAGTGTTGAGGTGGGCACCACTATAGATTCAGTGTCTCCAGGACGCGTCTATCGTTTTTCCAACCCAGTTTAGATCCCACTTCCGCATTACGCAAGCATCGACGCAGCGTTACGTCACAGCATCAACCTGGCGTCACATCCCTATGGTTACATCACTGCCTCACGCGACACACCCGCGAAATCTGAATCTGACAAGCGAAATACCGTCCTTTTAAACGCCGCATAATATACAATATACAATATAATAGTGCTTCTTTGTCAATATGACTGACGACCACACTTATGCAGTGCTGAGGTAATGTTAATTCATCATTTAATATTAATTCCTGATGGATATAAGAGGGATACATTAGCAAACATCTGTATATATAGCCTATATATATATATAATGTTTCGTTTTTTTGTTTGTCATCTAACATATTAACGTTTTCACCTTCTGTTTAGGATGTAAAGGTATCTATTTAATATTTTATTTAAAGGTAGACATTTATAATATGTTATTTTGTTATATAATACAACATATAACATTTGACATTAATAACATATTAACGTTTTGCCATGTAAAAATAAAATGTTGGGACATTTATAAAAATGTATTCCTTTACATAAAAGTGCTTTCCAGAGGTGTAAGAAGTGATAAGATCTTGTACTTGAGTAAAAGTACAAGTACCAGAGTGTAGAAATACTCAAGTATAAGTACTAAAGTATTAGCATCAGAATAGTACCTGAATAACTATAAGCTGGTTTTTTTGCTTTCATTTCAGACCTCGTGTTTTAGTGTGCTCTGGAGGCACACAGAACAATATAGAGGAGTACCCGCAGTTGAAGGTATCTGATAAGACCTATCTCTCAATACTATGATGAACATCAAATTACATTGAATGTGTTTGCTCATATCAATGCCTCACCTACACATCATCATCATCATCATCATCATCATCTAAACTATACCACTTAATAACAGACTTATTGTCCAGATAAAAGACAAGGCATTACAAAGAATAACATGCAAACACATGAAGTACATTTAAAGAGAATATAAACATGTTAGCATAACTATACCAATGTTTTAGGATTTTGAGGGTTGGATTTTTATTTTTCAGACTTTTTAAGCCTGCAAGTATAATGTGTATTCTACTCTAGTTCTAAGTAAAGTCAGTACATTTTAAACCTCATGGTCCTCTTTAGTTCTTCAGATCATGGCAAAACTCTTACTGGTATTCTGAGCCGACACAGTATTATGTGTGTGGATTTGAATGAATAGTTGTCTGTTTCCTTGTAGGGTTGGCTACCAGGTGAGTTCAGATACCACGTGTGCCAGTATGAAGAGGTGGTTTCACTGGGGGACCACACTGGTTTTGAGGCCACTTTGAGGCTGGATGTCCACACTGTGGAACAGGTCAAGGAGTGGGTACAAAAGCTGAAGGGGTCATCAGGGGTGACATGGAGGGTGGATGTTACCCGACCCAGGTTGGGGAAGCGGGTGCTTTTCAAAGTAAGTGTTGTCTTGTTGATATTTCTTGAAGTTACCTTTTAATTATCCTTTTTACTTTGACCTGTACTATAATAAATCTGCTTTATTTTGTTCAGGCAAGTTATAAGTGTCAGCATAGGGTGAACCCGAGAGCAGCCAAAAGCAGCAAGAACACCTGCTGTCAAGCAAAAATGCACACGACACTCAAGAGTACTCGTGGGGAAATGAAGTGAGTTTACTGATCCACATACTTATTATTTCACGTTTTGCTTTTTTTACATAATATTGATATATTGATTTATGTTATAGGACCGAAGACCCACACATGCCTGACCTACCATTTAAGGTTATTCTAATAAACAGGCACAACCACAATCTTTTTGTTGCGGACGCCATCCGCCACCGAGATGTTGGGGAAAAGGCAAACAACATAAGCCGCGTTCACACCAAGTACTTTTCCCACAGTAGTTCCTGAGAACTTTAGTTAATGAGAGTTCTTTTAGTTCTGACGAACTAAAGCAGATCGCGTTCACACCAAAATGAGTTCCTGGGGGTGGATTAGGCAAATGAGCCGCTGACGTCACTTCTTCTTCTTCTGCTTAGATTTTCCTGGCAGGCTGCAAACAACTTCACGGCGAGTACAGTAGGTGGCGGTATGCACCTTAAAGTTGCAATCCGCCAAAAAACCGAGAGAAGAAGAAGAAAAGCTTCCGCTTCCGCTGTATGCTTCTGTTTACCTTCCGACCTCAGACACGGTATGGAGTTGATGTTTTGGTGCTCGTGTTATACAGCTTCGTAACGGAGTTATTTAAGCCAATAACTCAGCCACAAATAAAAATACAGATCGACCATTCAAATGCAATAGAAATGCTGAGTCGGAGGCGAAGGCGGTTAAGAAGCCTTAACAAAAGGATTGGACCACGAAAAGCACACGCTATGGACATGTTTCGATAGCTGAGGATGATGACCGTTATCACGCCCAAAGAACAGCAATGGTACGTTCATTAAATCACATTAATACTATCTAATGTAGGATTTATGGAGTTATGTAGGGCTAATTTGTGTCTTTGTATGTATTCCAGATATGCGAATACTACGGAACGCGTCGTGTCCCGCGCTCTCTCTGGGTGAACAATAGTTCCTCGGCCTGGTGCACACCAATGTGCAGTGGATCAAAGTGGATCTTTTCAACTCCTCTGTATTCGCCTGGAAGCAACCATTGGGGAGACGCAACCTAAACAAATCGCCACGGGGCAAGACACGCGCACAGCCCTTGAGGCATCTGAACAGCATGGAAATTGTAAATTGACAATAAAGCTGATCTTTTGTACTGTGCATTTGGTTCTCTCTTTTATTTACCACAGTCAACAGACACAATTACAATAGTGCAGACACACCTTTGTGCAAAGATTAAATGTCAGTATCAAAACAGTACTCATACTGTATATTTGTATATTAATATGAGTATATTATTATGTTAAATGTGTGTTAAAGACAATGGGATGAGGTTGAAAGCTCTTTAAAAAGCTTTTGTATACCATCTTTACTGTGATAAATACATACATGTTAAGCATACACATCTGAAGAACTACGTTACACACACACAGGTTAGTCTGTGTACCGCTGCACTGCTGCTGGTTTAAACAAAGACAGTCATGATGCTAGTGCCGTGCATGTAGGTTCTCTTTTATTTATCAGAAGCAGATCAATAAGTGTCAGTAGTATCAAAACAATATAATAACAGTGGCAATATATATATAATCACAATAATACAAAATTAACTGTCCCAGGTGTAGGCAATTTGGGGTGAAGTGTCTTGCCCAGGGACACAACGACATCCTGACTGCAGTGGGGTTTGAACCTGTGCTCCCCTGATCCGAACACCAACGCACCAGACCACTGCATCACACGCCTCCCAACAAGTCATTGTACAGTTTATCAACGACAAGTTTTTCTTAATTTTTGTATTGAAGGCCTGTTGGATTTAATCAGCTCGCTTAGCACTGCCAGAAGCCCAGCCTGAAAGGTATTTTGTTGCTCCACCTCGATTCCTGGGCCTTGTGTGAATGCAGCAGCCGTTCGTCGTGCATCTCCTTGGCACGCAGGTCCTCATTCTCCTTGCTGACCATGGCACGGCGGGCCATCGCTATGATGGTGTCAAGGAAGCTGTCATCGCGTGCCCACTTTCCTAAGGTGAAATATGCAAGATACAAGATCAGTTTAATCGCAACAACGACACAACATTGTCCAAATCTGTCTCTGCAGGCACACAACAGGAGGAACACAGGGAACACCTTTGATTTGACTATTAACATTTTAAATGGTGAAGGCACTAGCAATTGGGGGATGGAGGGCTCTCAGGACATGATAGGGACAAATAGATACAAATTAAACGTTTTACAATTTTAATGCAAGCATTAATGATGCTATGAAGCTTTGAATGATTCATACCGTAATAGAATAAGCCACATAGTCTTTAAATAGCCTTAGACACTTGACAGTGACTTTATTTAAAAGTTATTTCTGTCTGTAATGCATCTTTGCACCACATTGACATGATAAGCTGCAACAATCACATTTAAATTAAATAAGTGGAGGTGGAGTGTGACTGTGTGTACGTACCATTTGACGATTGACCAGACGATGTGGACCCCATCTGCAAAGCAAAACAAGTTGATCTTACAAACACTTCCTAACATGTAAACAACGCTCTGTATGAACGTGTGAAGCAGAGTGTTAGCCCACCTTGGGGGAGCGTGTCTGGGGTAAGTTGACGGAGTGTTTCAGCCTTTTGACGGCCTCAGTGATGGCCTGGGTCTTCGTCTCGTCCAGAGCACAGCACAGGTTCTTCAGAGTCTGCACCACCCGCTCCACCGTCTTATACTGGGTGATCTGAATATAGAGATACACGTTGGTCAGAGGTAGGAAGTAGCGGAGTACAAATACCTCGTTACTGTACTTAAGTACATTCCACTACTTATTTTTCTGATCACTTTTTACTTCTACTTCTTACATTTTGAACACAAATACCTGTACTTTCTACTTCTTACATTTTGAACACAAATACCTGTACTTTCTACTTCTTACATTCTCCAAACAGGCTGGTTCCTTTAGTTTGAATGTGTGTTTGGTGGCGTGATCATTATTATTTAGAGTCATTGCGTGCCTATTGATTTGAACACGATCCGTGTATCCATCATTTCCTGGTCTTCTCTAAAGAAGAGGGACCAATGAAAACGTTGTCATGTTGCCGTTGTTCAGCATGGAAACATTCATTAGCTAACAATGACATTATTGTTCTATTAATATAAAGGGAGGTCAGGTACTCTTTAAAACAGCTGGTAGTTATGGGTACTTTTTACTTAAGTACATTTCAAAGCCCTCTTTACTTTTACTTAAGAAGTTTTACCAGAGTATTTCAAACACGAGTATCTGTACTTCTACTTGAGTAAAGGATGGAGGTGTGTGGCGCAGTGGATAAGTGCATTGGTGTTCGGATCAGGGGAGCACAGGTTCAAACCCCACTGCAGTCAGCATGTCGTTGTGTCCCTGAGACACTTCACCCCAAAGTGCTCCTGTGGGGATTGCCCACAGTATTGAGTATGTAAGCTTTGGATAAAAGCGTCTAACAAGTGACATGTAATGATTCAAAAAGCTTTTGAATATTGAATAACAAACCAATGTGGTTTACTTGTTATCCACAGTTTAGCTGCTAAATGTTTTTTAGCAATGCTTTTCTTTGTGCTCCACATATCCACAAGTGTGTTTTCACCTCCGTTCCCTCCTGTTTGCTGCAGTATGGCAGCAGCGGTCAGGATGGACCGGGCACAGGGTGTGGAGCTGCCTACTCTCAGCGGGGGGGAACTGAACGTGGAAACTGTGTTTCTCTGAGGGATCCTCCATGTAGTCTGAGAAGCCTTCTGAGGAAACAAGGTCAAACTATTTAGGATAATACAAGGAACAATGTTTAGGCAGTAAATAGAATTTCAATTACATTTCTACTTAAATGTGCAAAAATATTAGAACATCAGTCTTTGTGGCATGCAGGTAATCAACTGTTTAAGCTTTTACCATTAACATGTAGAATGAATGTTGCAAATTACTTGAAATTAGAGCAAATAGTAAATCTATTGTTTACCTCAGTTTAGCCACAGAGGTCCAGCTAGCATGCTAATTGCTAACGCTATATTATCGTTTTATCCCGGAGGGGAAAACTAGTTTCTAATCCTGAGAGAAACACCTCGCCTGAAACACACGATTAGTGCCATGAGTTAGTGAAGCAAATTACAGAACATTGCACACTTATTCACAAGTCAAAACGTGTTCATAGCGGGCATGGATGAGAATAGCTAGCTAGCTAGATGTTATTAGCCAGCTTGGACCTAACGTTAGCAAGTTCTACCATGGCTAGCTCGATCTACTGAGCAAATAAAAGTACATCTAAGACCAGTATTGTGCAGATTAAAACAGTGCAGTGCATGTATTTTATTTTACCTTGGTAGTCGTCCCGACATGACTTTGCCAGGTCTGCTAACTTTGCTGATCCACGGAAACGGCATTCAGTAGAAGCTTCTGAATGTGGCGCTTCGCGTCCTCCGAGTCAATCGCCAGAAGCGCAGACACATCCTCATCCTCATCCTCATCCTCATCACTCCACCGCTCCAATTGATTTATTTAGTGTTGCTATAATAACTGCTTTCACAAAAGGAATCTCTTCGTGTGTGCTGCGAAGCGAGGAAATACAATGGCCGCTTACAACAAAAAATTCTGAGTCAAACGGGCGTGGTTTGCATTCCGCACAGCCAATCAGACGTACGAACTACTTTCTCCCACGACAGACCCTGCTCTGTGGCAGGGACTGAAAAGCGAGTCTCGCGAACTATGTTGAGCTACTTTAGTTCCTGGGGCTTTTTGGTGTGAACGCAAATATATCGTAGTTCTGATGAACTATTGTGGGAAAAGTACACCAAAGTACTCCGGTGTGAACGCACCGGAGTACTCACAGGGCTCTTTGAAATTGGCCACACTCCAACATCTGCATCCTGAAACACGACCTCCAAATGGAGTATGGGCAGCGTTATGTGTACGTGTCGGCCAACAGGGAGATTTGCCCCGACCTGCCTTATGTACAGAGGTGGGTATCACATCTGGAAACATGGTCAAGATACCTACTACCCACTATATAAATAACGATGCAATAAAAACTATGATGTATTCAGTGAATACAAATACGCTTTTCTACTGCATGTAAGTGACACCCATACCAACTAATTCATTTTCTACCCAGACTGTTCCACAAGGTGTGTAGGGAGGAGTATGGCACGCAAACAGGTCCCACGATGTTGGCAGCGCTCAAGCTTCAAGTGGAGATTTACAACAATAAGTGTAATGACACCTGTGCTCTCCTGGGAACAACTTCCCAGGGAGCTCCTCTTGTGGTTGTGTGTTCTCCACTCATGAAGAAAGTGCACCAACTGAAGCACAGTGGGGAGCTGTGCTTCATAGATTCCTCAGGGAATATGGACAGGGAGAACTGCAGGGTATTCCTCCTCCTGACCCACAGCTGTGCAGGTGGCCTCCCTCTGGGCATTCTCCTCTGCCAGTCTGAGGATGAGCAGACTATTGCTCAAGGGCTGGAACAGCTAAAACAAGTTGTTGGAGAGAAGGGCTTTGCTGGCAGAGGACACGAAGGGCCACAACTGGTCATCACAGATGACTGTAGGGCAGAGAGGGGAGCTCTGGGAAAAGCATTTCCTAAGGCCACACTTCTCCTGTGCTCCTTCCATCTGCTACAAGCAGTTTGGAGGTGGCTGTGGAGCAAGGAGAGTGGGGTCACTCACGGAGACAGACCGGCACTTTTTGCCATTGTAAAAGAGATGCTTTACTGTCAGGAGATAGGCAGTGTGGATAGGCTTTACAGCGAGGCAAGAGGGCATCCAGTTGTAGCCAGGTTAGTGTTTAATGCAGACAAGTTAGTGATGTTTTGTTTAGCCATATGAGAGAAATTGACTTAAATAACATCCAACACCCAATGTAATGAAGTGATTAAGCTTTACTGTTTGGATAATTTTTTCTTTTTTTAACCAATTGCAGGTATGAAAAGTTCCTCAGGTACTTGGACCGACTGTACGCCAGAAGAGAGTGTTGGGCCCTCAGTTATAGAGGCAGTTTCCTCACCAGAGGAAACAATACCAACAATTTTGCAGAAGCGGCAATGCGTGTCCTCAAGGACAAAATACTGCAGAGGACAAAGGCCTTCAACCTTCCTCAGCTGTTTGATCTGCTGACCTCGAGGCTGGAGACCTATTATGAGGCACGCATTGTTGATGTTGCCCTTGGACGCTGGGAATCATTCCAGCGAGCAAAATTCCTCCCCCAAGATGGCAACATTGCAGCATTGCATATTCAGCAGGTAATGGATATAACAGCTGAAAAAACATAATATGCTATAGGTTTATCACTACAGAATCAATACGCACATATGTCACTTGTGTAACAAATACATTTATCCTTGTTTGACTTGTGATTTTGCAGATTGAGGACAAGAAGTTTGTGGTGAAGGGATCTACACAAACTTATGATGTAGACATGGATTTGGAGCTGTGTTCTTGCCCTGCAGGACAAACAGGAGCGCCTTGCAAACACCAGGCAGCAGTGATGAAACATTACAGCTGTTTGTCACACTCCTTTCTACCAATAAACCCAGAGATGAGAGCAGAGCTGATGAAACTGACATCCGCAGGTAAAGTCAATATTTTAACAATAACTGGTGTAATGAGACTGCCAACATTTCATGTTTTGATTACAAGATAAAGGATATACACTGTTTAGTTTTTAATTAATGTTGATCCCTTAATGTTTTATAGAAACCATCTCTTTGGATTTCCTCCAACCCCTCAGACTTAAAAGGCAATCATGTCAGTCGTTTAGAAGTAAGTAATACACAAAACTTACATTAATAATGGTGTAATTATATAAAATAATTGAAACTTTAAATCAAAATAACAAAGTAGTTCTATATTATCCATGTCCATCACTAATACCATGTGGGACACACAAAATTGATGTATCTCTTGGTATCTGTAGGCGCTCATGAACCAAGCACTACGCATCAGGAGCAACAAGATGAAGGTTTGTTATGAACATTTCAACTGAACAACACACACACACACACACACACACACACACACACACACACACATGCACACACACACACACACACACACACACACACACACACACACATACACACACACACACACACACACACACACACACACACACACACACACACACACACACACACACACACACACACACACACACACACACACACACACACACACACACACACACACACACACACACATACACACACACACACATACACACACATACACACACACACAGCTGTTGCACGCAGGAAGTCAGGCGCTGGCTCAAGACGGCGTTTATTTTCTGGGCGCCCTGTGAAACAGCATAGTTTAAGTTTGGCAGTGGTGTTGAACACCAGCCATTCAAAAAAACATTAATGTATTTATTGTATCCCTCTGTTTAGAGGCAGGACACTTCAGTGCCCCTCTACACCCTCTGACTCCTCGTCACCCCCACCCCTCTGTTTAGAGGCAGGACACTGGTATTCGGTGCCCCTCTACACCCTTTATGTATCTGTTTGTATATGTGTATGCCTTTCTTTCTCATTTGTTTTTCACCTTATGTCTTTGTCATGTCTTATCCCATTTATGGCCTGTACCTTGTCGTGGTAAGTGGGCTTTTTACCAAATCAGGCCTCAAGGTGTATCTCAAATGCTGAAATATAACCTCCCTGTTAATACAAATCCATTACCCTACATCACAGTATGAAATGACTAAAGGTCCACTGCCCTCTGCAGTCATGAAATCTTTCCAGAGGCTGGTGTTGATCCAACCTTAAGGCCCCTACACACCAGGCCGATATCGGCCGTCTTGCGTTGTTGGGCGAAAACGGGTTCCTTGTCGCCCAAAGTCAATTTGGTGTGTCCCGAACCCTCGGCCGTGACACACCTTCTTTGGCCTTTCACGGTCGACACCCGGCCGATTCAACATGTTGAATCGGCCGGGTGTCGGACACAAGCTATCGGGCCAAGAAACCACTCTGATCAGCTGTTCAGCTAGCAAATGAGAAGCGAAACGGAAGTGAGGGACGTAAACAAACGATTTAAGGCACAAGACAGCAGCTAAACACAAACAAATGTCCTCTCTTACCTCCCACACATAGCAGGGACATCTCTGATATCGGCGGGAGCGTCCCCGGCTGTCCTCTGCTGAGAGCTCCGTGATTTGTTTGGTCAAGTCCGGTTTTTCATCTCATCGTAAATTTAGCAAGAAGTGGCCATTATTACATTGCTGACTCAATAAACTACACACCCGCCAGAACACTGCGATCATCAGATGCAGGTCTATTAACTGTGATTTGATAGTATGTCTGCACTTTATGTGCTCATTTCATCATTCATGTATTTTTATATTCTAAAACATGTTTTCGATGGACGAGAGTGAAAATGGAACGCACATGCTATTTGTTTGTTTATATCAGTCTGTTCTTCTTCTCTGTCTTCCGTTTGTTGCCTATTTTGAATGACGAATACACACTACCGCCGCCTGCTGGTAAGGAGAGTTATTGCCACTCACGCATGCGCAGTTCGTACGTGCTCGACTGAAGTCTTTGCGGTGATTTCCAGTGCGACACACGGCCAATACGCAGGAGAACTCGTCGATGGAACTGTCGGTGTCGGGTGTCGGCGAGTTCTCTGGTGACTGCCTGGTGTGTCAGGGCCTTTAAGGACATCACATGACCCCTGCTTGACCTCCTGCAGTTGATGCAAACAGGTAAGTGGATCATGCAGTCAACTTGGGATTGTATCCTGGGACTTCAGCTCAGCATTCAGCAGTCCCCTGCTCCTACCTCACCCCTCCCACTGTCCCAGCCTTCACCTGGTGAGACATATACACCAATTAAAAGGCATGATTATTACAGTCAACCCTTATTCAGAGTGCCTAAATGTATATATATTTTTACAGTGCAGATTTTGGCTTTTTTGGGACCATCGCACATGTGTGTAAGTAACAAGTAATGATGTATAATCTGCAACAACTGTCAGGTGGTGTTATTGATAATCTTTGCAAAAGAGCCCCCACCAATATTGATTTTGACAAATATCTTTTAATTGAAATATGGGAGCAAAAACAAAAGGGTAGAATTGATCATATCATATTATGTCATTATTATTGCAACTGTTTTTATTATATTGTGTTGTTTTGTTTATATATATATATATATATATATATATATTTATGTGTGTGTGTACAAATGATTATTGCAACTGTGTTTATTATATTGTGTTGTTTTGTTTGTGTGTGTTTATTTATACACACATATATATATATATATGTATGTGTGTGTACAAATGAATTAATATAAAGTGTATATGTGAGTGTGTGTATAAATGAATGAATAAATCTGTGTGTATAAATGAATGAATACACGTGTGAGTACATATAAGTGTGTGTTTATATATATATATGTTTATAAATGTGTGTATATATATAAAAACAGTATGTGTGTATATAAATGAATTAATAAAAGTGTATATATATATATAAAATAGTATCATTAAATAATGCTGTCAGATAAATGAAGTACACAGTAATAGTTAAGGTTATAGTCAATATTCTGCACTTACACCAGCTGATAAGATCTTTAAAACGTCTTTTGTTTGTCCTGAAAACGAAATTTGAGGATACACACAGGCTATTATAGATGATAAAACACCAGTAATACAATCTCAGGACTCTTCGATATGGCTTTGATTATAGGATCGTTTACTTTCAGTCAAACCAACTATTCAATATTCTGCTTTACAGCTATAACTGCCGAAGATGAAGTCTGACGCTATCACGTAGAGCTACGTCGATGATTGCGTAATGCGGAAGTGGGCGTGGTTAAATCTAAACTGGGTTGGAAAAACGATAGACGCCTCCAGGACACCAAAAACGAGTGGTTGGCTGTGCATCTGGGATAAGTAATAAGGGAGTTATTGTGAGTTTAAGTGCCGTTTCAGGTTACATTTTTTCGCTCGTGGATAATTCAGAGGCTGAGTGTTAGCATTGTGGGGTTTTTTTGGAAAAAAAAATTAAAAAGATCAGTTAGCTGAGTTTCTTCCCGTTACATGGATATAAAACATTCATAGTTTCATTAAATATTAAGATTCCTTAGACGTTGTTTCCTGCAAATGACGCGTTTAATGGTGCGTAACAGGTTAAAATAAAAAACATTTATATTGATTCTGACACTTCTACATCCAACTCACAGAGGTAACCTTGCTTTGATAAAATAAATTATTCATATAACCCTTTTAGAAGTTAAGTTGTAGTCATTTGTTTTGGGCATGTCACTATTCTGATGCTAATACTTTAGTACTTATACTTGAGTATTTCTACACTCAAGTACAAGATCTTATCACTTCTTACACCTCTGGAAAGCACTTTTATGTAAAGGAATACATTTTTATAAATGTCCCAACATTTTATTTTTACATGGCAAAACGTTAATATGTTATTAATGTCAAATGTTATATGTTGTATTATATAACAAAATAACATATTATAAATGTCTACCTTTAAATAAAATATTAAATAGATACCTTTACATCCTAAACAGAAGGTGAAAACGTTAATATGTTAGATGACAAACAAAAAAACGAAACATTATATATATATATAGGCTATATATACAGATGTTTGCTAATGTATCCCTCTTATATCCATCAGGAATTAATATTAAATGATGAATTAACATTACCTCAGCACTGCATAAGTGTGGTCGTCAGTCATATTGACAAAGAAGCACTATTATATTGTATATTGTATATTATGCGGCGTTTAAAAGGACGGTATTTCGCTTGTCAGATTCAGATTTCGCGGGTGTGTCGCGTGAGGCAGTGATGTAACCATAGGGATGTGACGCCAGGTTGATGCTGTGACGTAACGCTGCGTCGATGCTTGCGTAATGCGGAAGTGGGATCTAAACTGGGTTGGAAAAACGATAGACGCGTCCTGGAGACACTGAATCTATAGTGGTGCCCACCTCAACACTCAGTGATAAACATTTGCGACGCTATAAACGAAAGCGTACATCATAACATGTGGAGCTAAGTAGCTAGAAACGCTAACATGGCTTACCTTGGTCAAAACTGGTCTTCAATGGCATAAAAACGATGCAGCAGTTAATCTATAGGTTAATCCAATGTGTCTGTGTCCTCTTTCAAATTATTTCTGATAATCCATAAGCAATAAAACTGCTTTTTCGTTTCCAAATGCCAGAGCGAGAGATCGCTTCACTCTGCTGGACATTTACATGCGCGCAGCCCCCACCTTTTCTCTTCACAATGTGTGTGTGTGGGCCTCCCCCTTCGATTCTATTGGCTCTAACGGTCAGAAAGAGGTGTCAACCATCAAAATCGAGCAAGGGGGGCCAGAGATATGAAAAAAAAAACATTTTCACCCAAATCACCTCAGAGGTGGGGTGGTTTTGGCTAAACCTCTCTAAAAAGGTCAAATGTCACTTGTTTTGCATCAATCTTGATACAGGGTACTTATTATATGTTGTACTTTGGATTCCTAAAGTTTTTAGTCTACTAACCCATCATCCAAGGGTAGTTTTCACTATCTGTAAAAAATAATTTTTGGACGGACACTATAATTTACAGTTTTTTACTATGTAAAATCTGAATTATATTGATTCTGACACTTCTACATCCAACTCACAGATGTAACCTTGCTTTGATAAAATAAATTATTCATATAACCCTTTTAGAAGTTAAGTTGTAGTCATTTGTTTTGGGCATGTCATTTTCGAGCCTGAAACATGAAAAACAGGCTTGGTGCTTAACAGGTTAAAGAGTCCCTCTGTGTCTCCTCCACAGGAACATAGCTGCAGTTTAAAGAGTCCCTCTGTGTCTCCTCCACAGGAACATAGCTGCAGTTTAAAGCGTCCCTCTGTGTCTCTTCCACAGAAACATAGCTGCAGTTTAAAGAGTCCCCCTGTGTTTCCTCCACAGGAACATAGCTGCAGTTTAAAGAGTCCCTCTGTGTCTCCTCCACAGGAACATAGCTGCAGTTTTAAAGAGTCCCTCTGTGTCTCCTCCACAGGAACATAGCTGCAGTTTAAAGAGTCCCTCTGTGTCTCCTCCACAGAAACATAGCTGCAGTTTAAAGAGTCCCTCTGTGTCTCCTCCACAGGAACATAGCTACAGTTTAAAGAGTCCCTCTGTGTCTCCTCCACAGAACCATAGCTGCAGTTTAAAGAGTCCCTCTGTGTCTCCTCCACAGGAACATTTGTAGTGAATGTGGCTCAGACTTCCTATCAGGCAGAGGAGAACCAGAACATCACCCTGGAGTGGACCTTCAGCACCAGAAGAGACACTTCCCTCAGATCCATTTCTACCTACTGTTTCCTTCATACTAATGACCGAACCTCAGTTCTGTTTGAACTACGTGAAGGTGTTGAATCCCCAGAGTCTCAGGATCCAGAGTTTTCAGGACGAGTCCAGTGGGACAAAGACGTCCTCACAGAAGGACGCCTCACACTTCATGTCTCCAGACTCAGGACCAGTGACTCTGGGTTTTATCGGTGTGACATACTCGTCACACCTGATGGGACTAACTCTAGGAGATGCTGGCTGAATGTGACTGGTGAGTATTTAAATTAAAACTTTTTAAATATGTAGATGGTAGCTCTATGTGAAATGGTAAATAAACATGCAGGTTATTAAAATATCTGATACAGAATAGTCTGAAAGAGGTTTTCTCCCCGTCAACATGATGTTACTAAACTGTGTATTTTCCACAGCTGCTGCTGAGCTCCAAACTCAGAGACCAACAGAGAGTCCACAA